ATTGATGCATGAAAAAATATATGTAAGTAGTATATACACACATACACACATCAAAGCTTTGGCTTGGAAAATTTCCTTTTGCTTATCAGAATTCTACTTATCATACCCTCAAGAAAGGTTCTAGAGAGCTCCTTTAGCATCCCTAATTTGAATGCTCAGTGTTAATATCCCCTCTATTCAAAGGGAAATATTAAGGGTTTCTTTAAACAAATAACATCTGCATGTGAAAAAGTTAATATTACCCAAAGTGAAACCAAAATTTTCTAAAAGTGAGATCTAAAAGTCATCTATATCAACATCACCTGGATGATTTATAAAATGCAGATTCACGGGCTCTGCTGTAGCCCACAGAATAAAAATCATCTCAAGACCACAAGACCAGTGTAGTTTAAGCAGGAGTCGACCTTGAGTGCTTTGAAAATGCTTCTCAACCGGGCACGGTGGCTCACGCCTGTAATCCCAGCATTTGGGAGGCCGAAGTGGGCGGATCATGAGGTCAGGAGATCGAGACCATCCTGGCTAATACGGTGAAACCCCATCTCTACTAAAAATACAAAAAAATTAGCTGGGCATGGTGGCGGGCGCCTGTAGTCCCGGCTACTCGGGAGGCTGAGGCAAGAGAATGGCGTGAACCCGGGAGGCGGAGCTTGCAGTGAGAAAAGATGGCATCACTGCACTCCAGCCTGTGCAACAGAGCGAGACTCTCTCAAAAAAAAAAAAAAAAAAAAAAAAAAGAAAATGCTTCTCAGGCAATTCATATGTTCATTTGACTGTGAGAATTCAGCCCCTGCGAATCAATAATAAGTGTCTACCTTTGTTTTTATAGATTGTATAAGGTGTTTTTCACAAGCATTTTAAAATTTCATGCTCACATCCAGTCTGGGTGGCTGTCTGGGCTAGGAGTATTAGCTCCACTTTCAAAATAAGGAAATTAAAGTCAGAGAGATTTAGGGACTTATTCAAAGATTCACCTAGAAAATGGTAGAGCTCAGATTTCATTATATTTTCATGACCACAAGTTCTGTCTTTATCCATATGTAGAGCTCATACAAACCCCCTAAAACTCACATTTCTTCACATTTGCAGAACCAACTCACAGTGGTTCTTCAGAACAAAGTGACAACAACAGGTAGAAACAGCAGTAGTAAAGGATTGCAAGTACCTTGGGAACTCATGGCTCCATGAGGCAGAAGTTGATCTCACAGATGTGGAAACTGATGGCCAGATGGTTGAATGGTTACATGGCTGTCCCTTCAAGAAGGAAGGGTCAGGAACATATCTATAATAGGAGACAGTGATAGGAATTAAAGAAAAACTATGAGAAGATGAGATGGTTCAACCCACAAAGAAAAAATGGAGGCACGGGCTAAAACACTCACCCTGAGCTGAGCACAAGTTCTGGTGTGGTTCAAGAATAACTGAGCCAAAGACACTCAGCAGCAGAAGCAGCAAGAGCAGTATCAGTGACAATGACCCCAGGCCAGAGACAAGAAGCCAAGCATGTCACCCAGAGCCTCTGCCTCCATGGATTCTGTAGTTGGAGGACTCACATATTTCTGTAGCCCTTTCTTCCCAGATGCTCGAGAATCCCACTGCAGCAGAATTTGCTCTTGATCCACGGCCAGGCCTGTGAATCCCAGCATAAAGACCTCAGGAGAGATTCTGGTAGCCCCAGCTACAGACTTGCTCTCTGCTCCTTATGCTGGGGACTTTATGCCAGTGTCTGAGTGTTTCCCTGGCCCCACAGTCCACCTTGCATCTACATACCCCTTTAGTGACCTCTATATGTATCTCTTCCCCTAGAACCCTATAACACCTTGTCCCTAGATGGAGCTGGCTTTCCGGATAGAAACTATCTCAGCACTGGGACATTTCTGAATTGCTAAAAGAGTCTGTCCACTGAAACAATTTGCTGATCCCCTAGGGAAGCCATTATAGAACCTTATGACAACTATATGTTAATGAGTTTATCCATGTTTTTGCCTGAAGTTGCTGTTTGTTCATTTTAATTGCTTTGCAGAATTCCAAAGTGGATCTATACTATACTTTTAAATCCCTTCTTCTGATGGTAGATAATTGAGTAGTTTCCAATTTTGGCATGTAATAAATATTGCTTTTATGCTAATAATGAATTTTTATTTCATATACATGAAATTGTTGTATAATCAGGTTTAGAAGATAATGCCAAAGAGTTATGTAAAGTAGACTACCAAGTTACTCTCCTACAGGAGAGTTCCTGTTGCTCAGGATCCTCACCAACAATTAGTATTGTGAGACTTGACTTTTTTTTTTTTGTATTTTTAGTGGATATGGGGTTTCACCATGTTAGCCAGGATAGTCTCAATCTTTTTCTCATGATCCACCTGCCTCGACCTCCCAAAGTGCTGGGATTACAGGTGTGAGCCACTGCACCCGGCCAGAGACTTTACATTTTTGTTAAACTGCTGATTGTGTGTGTGTGTTTTTTTTTTTTTTCATTTCTCTCATGACTAATGAGATGAAGCACTTTTCATATGCTTTTGGACCATTAGGATTTACTCTTACCTGAAGAGTGTACTCAAGTGTTTTGTCCATTTTTCTAATTGATTGTAATGAGTTCTTCATGTATTTTAAATACTAGTCTTTCGCAAACATTTTCTCCCATTCTGTTGCTTGTCGTTTTATTCTTTATGGTGCCATTGAATTATTATTATTATTATTTTTTGAGACGGAGTCCCACGCTGTTGCCCAGGCTGGAGTGAAGTGGCGTGATCTTGGCTCACTGCAACCTCTGCCTGCCGGGTTCAAGCGATTCTCCTGCCTGAGCCTCCCGAGTAGCTGGGACTACAGGCGCATGCCACCATGCCTAGCTAATTTTTGTATTTTTTAGTAGAGACGGGGTTTCACCATATTGGCCAGGCTGGTCTCAAATTGCTGATAATTATTTTTCAAAAATATATTTATAATGAAATTTTACACCTCAGAAAATGATTTGTTCTTTCATTTTAAGAGACTAGGGTAATGATTATTTGGAGGAAAGGCATTAGAAAAGATTACATATTCCATGGCATATTCTTCTGTAATGCTTGGAGTTTTATCATGATTATGTATTCCTTCATTCAACAAATATTTACTGAGCACCTAATGTATGCCAAGAAAGGCTCTAGGTCTTAGAGATCCATTACTGAACAAAAGAGACAAAGACTCCTGGCCTAATGGAATTTACAAAAGAGGACTCTATATTGCTTTTATTTAGAAAAAAAAGCTACAAAAGACTCTGGTTTCTATCACACTTTCATTTTGCACTTTCAAATATCTATATATAAAAACAACATGGCACAGAACTCAGAGTAAATACTTGAAAAGATAAGCAAAAGCTTTTGGTCAAGAGTTGCTATTGATTTTTCCCTTATTTCAGCAGCAAATTTTCCAGAAAGCACACTAAAATGTCAGACCCCAGGCCTCTCAAACATATAATACAAAAGCATATAAAATGTTTATTTTAAAACACCTTAGTGTAATGAGCCATCTTAAATCAATGATGCAGGTAGTTTAAATGTGAGTCAGATTCTGGGCTGGCTTTGTCTATAGCAATGATATTTAAATTTCATTTTGAGTCAGTGATACATACACAAGCAAAAATAAATAGATGAGCATGTATGATATATGGAATAAATATATCTCGCTTTCATTCAGGATCCACCTCCTCCAACCCACTCGCCCTCCACCACCACAGCCACAGTTAGCAGCTTCTTGTGTGTTCTTCAGAAGGTGTTGAATTATGTACAGACACATAGGGATTACGTATGTAGTTCTATGTTTTAACTGTTCTGTACTGCCAGGTTAATTCTGTGAGCGGAGGCTACAGATTTGGGGGATAGGAGCTTGTGATATCAAAATCACAAGTTCAGAACTGGGCCAGGTGAAGCTGAAAGGGGGTCCCTGAAAAAGCCTCTGCACTCCCAGGCTGGCACCCTTGCTGGTGCAAGCAGCCTGAGAATTGCTGGGATGCCGCATGAAGGTGGCAATGCCCTCCAGTGGATCCCAGGCTACACCCCTCCCACCTCAGCCCAGGCTTCGGAGTGAATATTGATGTCGATGGCTTCACTTCACCCCTTCTGTCCTCAAAAATAAAATGACTGCTGATGTCATGCCATATCCACTTCCTTCTTGATTTCTGGGCACTTCCCTCTCCTCGCCACCCACCATTTTGCCTGTGGGATGTCACTGCCCTTCTGTGCTCAACCCCTTCCTTTGCCTGTCCTACATTCAGCATAGCTTTCCTGAGTGCAAACTTGAAGCAATTTCTTGTCTTCTGTTAGTTCCTGCCCCACCCACACCTTTGGTCTCCTATGCTTCAGGCTTCTTCACAGGCCCAACAGCCAGTGCTCTAAGAAAGGTGTCTAGGTCTATAACGTCATCAGCCTTGGGGGATCAAGTTAATATATACAGTGCATATTTTACAAATATCCCTCTCCCCTGTACTAAAAAAGTCTCTCCAAAATAGGATTGCCAGTTTTAACTTTAAAAAAATGGGATGCTTAGTTCAATTTCAATTTCAGATAAACAAGTGATTTTTTAAGCATATATCTGATGCAATTATCTTTCATCTGTATTTAATCTGCCAGTTCTATTTCCAAACCAGTTGAGCAGTTAAATTAAACAGTCCTTCTAATCTGCATGTCTTTGAAAAACAAAGTTCTAATCCTCCTTTCAATGACTGTGGCCCATACACAGCAAAATGTCCCACCAATTTCAAAACTGGGCATTTTGAGTAGCCTTGGGTCAGTGCAGGAGGTATTTCAAAGCGGTTGCTAGGTGGCAGACCTCAACCCTGGAAAGCATTTTTCACATTCTATTAGTACTGCTGGGTGAGACTAGCTTGGTAGTCAGCCCAAATGTGTATGATTTAGAGAGCTTTACTTTGTTACCATTTTTTCTTCCAATTTAAAATCAATAGCAAAACCAGGTTCAAAGAGCACATCTAAAAAGCTTTGTCTTTTGAGCCAAATGCCAGAATGTCTAGGTAAACACAGAACCAAGTAATCACAGGCTTCATTTATTTCAGCTATTTTTCTCTGCTGGACTTTTGAGGCAGATAAGACTAGATTTCTTCCAAACAGATCTGGGCAGGAGAAAACTTGAAAGTACCGGCCGGTCTTAAGTATCCTCACATGATTCTTGATATAAATTTACCTGGAAAACAGAGTGGACACAACAGATTTGTTCTTTTAAATCTTGAGTTTTTTGCAAACATTAAACTGGTTGTACAAAAGGAACAGTGTGACATACCATTGTTCAAATTACTTAACAAACTTCATGAAACAAGAATTGTGATTCTACATGCTGTCTTGTTAACCAGCGAAAGAGCAGGATCCAGGAAAGGACAAAAAAGAAGAGAAATAATCAAAATAATAGTAATAGTGATTATAGCACCTCAACCCAATTTCCTCAAAAAGTACCAGAACCCTTAGAGCATGTTGATGCATCATGATTTCACCATTAAGATAGCATTAAGAGCAGACTCTAAATTAAACATAACAAAATTAAATAATACCTGCATCTTTGTTCAATAAAGCATTCTCTTTAACTGTCTTACATCTTCCAGGCATTCAGGGATGGGAACAAAGCAAATAATTACAGAAATTAAGAGCTGGAAGGAATTTTACAGTTTTTTCACTGGTGCTCAGATTTTGCAAAGAAATAATTTAAATGTCTATTAATAGGAAATTTGCTAATGAATCATGTACTATTAGGTGAAACCATATGAAATTCCTGATATTTGACTGTTTTTGACTTACAAAAATGGCAATTTTATTTGATCTACCTAACGCTCTGCAGTTATTAAAAATATATGGTAGTTCTATAAGTATTGGCATTAAATGAATTGTATTTAAGGTAAATTGTAAGGAACAGAGGAGTGTTACAGGGTGCCAGTGTGTAGCATGTGTAGGGATATATATGCTTACTAATGTCTACCATACATCTGAATTTATAAAGTACAAGAAACTGTTAACAGTGGACGCCTCTAGCGGGCCAACTTGGAAACTAGAGACAAGAGTGACAGAGATATTTTTACTTTTACGCAGTCCTAATTTTTACTACATGCATGTATTAAATATTTTACAGCAAACACAAAACAAAAAACAAAGCAACAAGGAAATCACTGTTTAGAGAGGTAAAGCGTCTGTACAAACCATACTGTGAGCTCATACTAGAACACGTTGAACAAAGTGGCTGCTCAATTGCTTACCTCATTCCTACAATTCAAAGAACAAAAGCGAACAGCTCTTGGTGGCTGCCAGTTGTGGGAGCCACTCTATACTCTGACCTCACGGTTTACCTGGGATCTTAATTACTCTAGTTAAATGGGGACCTTCCCCCTCAAAACATGGTGTCACTGGAGGTTCAATGCATCACCTTTCAATCATTCTCACTGCGGTTGTGGGTGAACAGATTGCATGCTGCAGGCAAGCACTGGGAGCAAGAAAGAAGCCCTTCTCCACCTGGTGAAGTCTTCTAGCCATTTGCCTTCCATCTGGCCATGGAGAGTCCTCGGAGTCATTTTCAACAAGTCCTAACCCTTTTCTCATTATGATCTTTACTCTTTATCATGGAGTTAAAAATAATAGAATTTTATTCTAATTATTTGCTGTTCAAGAGGGGGAAAATAAATTAGAATTCAGTTTTTTGTGCACTTATCTGGTTAGGTCTCCCCTACTCTTTGCCCCCATCCCCATTTCCTACTTTCCTACAACCATTAGACCGGCCACACCCAAATTATTCTAATCTATACCAGTGCTTCCCAAACTGTGCTTGAGAGGAGGAAATACTTCATGTTGCAGTTCAAGAAACTGTGGTCTTAGAGATTAAATGACTTGTCTTCATTCCAACAGTTCAAAAGTGGTAAACACAAACTCAAACCCAGCTTCCTGATGTCTAATCAAGTGTCCTCAGTCTTGAAACTAAAACTGTTTATTTCTCCCTTATCGTCCATCTACTGCCCTATTTTTCTCCTTCCTTTTACTGTCACAATTCCCACCATTGCAGTTAAGTTCCTAGACTGTTTTCTACTTGTCTTCTCCATAAGCCCTGCCAGCTGGGTTCAGTGCCCACCAAGACTGAAGGTGCCAGTTGCAAGGGCACTAAGTGAGCAGCATCTTTAGCATTCAATGCTATCTAAGGTTGGTCTTTCCTGATATACCATGGCAAGAATCATCTGCCTATTTACTTCATCACTGCACCCATAGCCAGCTGAGGGCGAGGTACCAACCACGAGTTGAATAAATATTAGGTGACTGACAGGGCTGCTGATATGACTTTCCTTTCGGAAACTTCCTTTCTCAGGCTTTTGTGGCTTTCTTCCTACTTGGATGACATCCCTTCCTCCACCTCCTTTTCCTTATAACTTCGGGCATTTTCACCAATTGATCAATCTGTCCATTACTGAAGCAATACTGGAGATAAAGAACCAGTCTGACGTTGGGGTGTTTATATTATTTGTAAAAAGCATAAATACATAATGGAATCACAAACAATATAACAATATAGCGTAATAATCATGAGGCAGGCTGCATGGCTTTTTAACTCTCTGTGCTATACTTAATTTTCTTGTGTATAAATGGATTATGGTAGTAGTTCCTACTTCATAAGGTTGTTGTGAGGATTAAATTATATAATACAGTTGAAGCACTTCAAAGAGGGTCTGTATACTGTAAGTGCTCACAAAATGTTAACATGTAAGATAATATATAAATCATTAGTAAGTGTTGTAGAAAGTCTCCTTTTAAGAACTTTTTTTCCCAAAGAGATCTAGTCAATTTTCAAAACCTGTTTTTCAAGTATCCTCTCCAGATTTTTCTTTATCATTTTGACTTACCACTCCATTGTCTCAGGAATCACGGGGATATTACCCTGTTTAGGACATTGAAGATTTGAGAAACGGAGAACAGGAGCCTCAAATAACAGCCAGCATCAACCAGCTGTAAGGCATGAGAGGGGGGCTTTGTCCTCCTGACCCAGACAACCCCACAGCTGGCTCCCTGCTGCCACATGAGAAAACCTAGGTGAGACCTACTGAAGAATTGCCAAGCCAGCCCACAAAATGGTGAAAAATAACAAATAATAGAAGTTGCTATTTTATGTCACTAAGTGTTGGAGTGGCTTGTTTCACAGCAAAACATAATCTAAATATCACTATTAATCCAGCCATGCAGAGTAAACATAACATTTTGGTGAATATTCAAAATCTAGGCATTATACATATACACAAATATGTTTTATATATTTAGAAGTAGTTTTACATACAGCTATTTGCACTTTGTAAAACTCAAAGTAGGATAGTTTGCATAGTGTGTATTAAAACAGCTTTCTAAAAAAATTTAATCATATATTTTGAATTTTTGTATAATTATAATTGCGTATAATTATTTTTGGTGGTTGCATTGCACATCATGGTTTATTAGCCAGTCCCTTGCTGATAGATATTTAGCCTGTTGCTAACTTTTGGTCACCATAACAAAAGGTTTATTTAAGTTAATCAGTATTTTAGTTAAGTATCATCTAATTGCTCTTCAGAAAGATGTACCAATTTACATTCTTACCATGAATGATTCAGAATTCTCTTTTGTCTGTGCTTTTACCAACAGTGAGTATTGCCTTTTTAAAAGACAATCTTGTATGGGCGCTGTGGCTCACGCCTGTAATCCCAGCACTTTGGGAGGCCGAGGCTGGTGGATCATGAGGTCAGGAGTTCAAGACCAGTCTGGCCAAGATGGTGAAACCCCATCTCTACTAAAAATACAAAAATTAGCTGAGTATGGTGGTGGACACCTGTAATCCCAGCTACCTGGGAGGCTGAGGCAGAGAACTGCTTGTACCCGGGAGGTGGAGGTTGCAGTGAGCCAGGATCGTGCCACTGCACTCCAGCCTGGGCAACAGAGTGAGACCCCATCTCAAAAAAAAAAAAAAGACAATCTTTGCTAATCTAATAAATGAAAAATTATCTCATTACTTCTTAAATTTTGTTTTTATTATTGGGATTGAGTATATTTTGATGTACAGTGGACACCCTTCTCCAAAATGCTTATTCTTACTCTGTTCATTTTACAACTTTTGTTATCTTATTCTTATTAATTGTATGATATAGCCATTTAACACTTTGTCATATATATTTATTTATATATTTTAATATATAATATGTATTTTTAATATATAAATATAAATATTAAATATATGACTATATTTATATTTTATATTTATATTTTATACATATTTAAACATTTTTCTCTAATTTCCTTCTAACAGAAGATTTCCCTCAAAATTTATGGGTTTATGTGGCATTTCTCAATGCACAAAGGCTAAAATGTTTAAATTGTCAAGTCTGTCAATGTTTTGTTTTTTATTTCTGACACTGGTGTCATCATATTCATTTTTTAGAAGATGACAAAGTTTAAGTATCTTCAAGGAGTATGTATTAGTCCATTTTCATACTGCTAAAAAGATACTACCTGAGACTAGGTAATTTGTAAAGGAAAGAGGCTCAATGGACTCACAGTTCCATATGGCCAGGGAAGCGTCAGGAAACTTACGCTCATGGCAGAAGGTGAAGAGAAAGCAAGAACCTTCTTCACAGGGTGGCAAAAGAGAGAAGTGCAAGCAGGGGAAGTGTTAGATGCTTATAAAACCAAAAGATCTCTTGAGAACTCACTCACTATCATGAGAACAGCATGGAGGAAACTGCCCCACGATCCAATCACCTCCCTCCATAAACACATGGGGATTACAATTTGAGATGAGATTTGGATGGGGACACAGAGCCAAACTGGCAAATCGTATCAGAGTAGTTAGTTGTCATTCAGGTAAAATCTCAATCCCTCAGTCTCTGTTGCATACCACATTCTATTCTCAACAAATTCAGCCAAATTAATATCCCACAACTTCTAAATGCAAACTGTGTTTTGGTGAGCTTAGTTTCCTGCATGTTTTGATGCCTGGGCTCTGGAGTATTGTAAAGAAAAAGTTTAGGATTCTGATTCAACCACTTATCAACAGTATGAGAAGAGCTTTTTGGGCTTCAGCTTCACATTTAAGTAGGCTTAAGACTAATGTGTGATTAACTTACGTGTAACAAACAACACAGCTTAACATACAGTTGGCACTTAATGAATATCAGTTCTCCAGCCATCTCTCCATGTTTTTGCTTATCCTGGGACATCTTTCTGTGACATCATTCTCCTCTTCTCCACCTTGTGATACTTTACCTACCCATCTGGGCCAGTTTTATCCAGACTCCTTCACAAAGGTTTCCATAGAACAGAGAGCTTACTATGCATCTTACACAGTGTGGGTGTCTTACATTACTATTTTAATGTTTCAGTCATGTTTCCATGAGCCAAACTGTAAGGTTCAGGAATGTCTGTCCTAATAATGCTTGGCACTTGAATGCACCCAATAAATATTTGTTCAATGCATAAACAAAAGGTGCATGGGATGGGATATATTGGAAAACTGGACATATATTGTAATAAGACAAGCTAACAATTTGTGTTTAAAAATTAGCCTAATTATTGTGTTTGGGACACAAAATTTGTGACCAATGTGAATTCATTTAGTAAATGTAGCCATATATATCTTGCATTATACCATTGAATATTCTAATAGTTCTATATACCATTGGAATATACCAGCGGAAAATATCATTACAAATATTCGACATACCGTATTTCTTCAATTTTAAGAACAATTTGGTACCACATGCTAATTTCTCTGAAAATGGGATGTATCTTACTATCAAATAAACAGCCAGTGGTCAGGTGACAGTGATGATATAGTTGGCATTGCCTATATTTGAACATGGGCATAAATGAATTGTCATCATTTCTACTAAATTCTATGAAATTTAGTCCTACTGTGTCAAAGCCACATGCCAAGAAACACAGTTGAAGGCAGGAGAAATTACCAGATATGACAAATTAGGTGAAAGAAATTTCAAAGCAAAGAGAGGTTGATATAACCAATTCATGTTTCATGCAGGACTATGGTTGAAGCATGAAACTACAATTTGTGAGAAGCTTTCTCCTGGACATTAATAGAGAAGCTGCATAGCTTGTATTGATATACAATTCAGCTGAACAAGAAAACTATGTGTTTAGTCAAATGGGATAGTGCCAGTATCACATTTGCAGAATGAGTGTCATTGTCTAGGAAGCAAATCCCAGAAACAAGACTGGAACATCCTTTTAAGAAACGGTGCACTATCAATGGCACTGTGTGGAAAAACTCACATAGGAATGCTTTTCATGAAAAGGTATTCAGAAGAATCAGGCTCAATGTTCGGGACTTCAGTAAATTTATTTTGCTTATATTTTCTTTCCCACACATACACAGTACTAAACAAATCTATGTATAAGTGTCTAAAAGTACCCAGTAAGTATAAAGTAAGAATTCGATATGACATAACATTTTGTCTTAGTTTAATTAGCAGCTCTTTTCCTTTCTTGGTGGAACATATAATTGAAGATATCTTAGATTTGAATAGATACCAATACATTGAATAGGCACCAGGCCTGTGAGTTTGTAAACTTCCCTCAGTGAAGGACCACAGCTTGGTGTTTTGTTGTTGTTTTGGTAGGTATTTTGTTGTTTGTTGGAAATGAGGTAAGAAGATCGTATGAAGTCTTCACAAATATCGGTTACACTTGTTTGTAGAGGCAACATAATTTCAAGAAAAGCCACCTTCTCACATCACCTTTTATAGCTTCTTAATATAGGTCACAGGTTGTGTTTTGAATTAGGTGAATACTCCATTTCTCATTAGGTAACCACTTTTGAAATTAATTTATTATATTTTTCCAACATAACAGCAGTACATGTTGGTATAGAAAACACCTTATATTTAAAAAAAAAAAGTCTATGTATCTACGCCTTAGTATGTAATCAGCCATATGTCTTCCGCCCAATTTGGAAAATTTCTTTTTTAAAAATTTTCTTAGGCCAGGAGCGGTGGCTCACACCTGTAATTCCCAGAACTTTGGGAGGCCAAGGTGGGCGGATCACCTGAGGTCGGGAGTTCCAGCCCAGCCTGACCAACATGGAGAACCCTTTCACTACTAAAAATACAAAATTAGCCGGACGTGGTGGCACATGCCTGTAATCCCAGCTACTCGGGAGGCTGAGGCAGGAGAACCGCTTGAACCTGGGAGGTCTGGAGGTTGTGGTGCGCCAAGCTCGCGTCATTGCACTCCAGCCTGGGCAACAAGAGCTAAACTCCGTCTCAAAAAAAAAAAAGGTTTCTTATACATTTTTCGATGCCATTTATTCTTTTCTTTGTTTATGAAAATGTCTCAGATCAAAGTAATATATCTTCATTGCACAGCATATTTTGTAAGTACAGAAAAATATAAAGAAGCATGAAACATATTATCCTTCATCTCACCACCCAGAGATCACATCTTAATATTTTTGGCCATTGCATTCAATTTAGGGCAAAAACAGGCAGCGTAACTTGCACACAGTGGATGCTCACTGCATCCCTGCTGAATGCATGAATGCTGAAAGAGAACTTGGAGAAGGGCCCATATGTCTTGCTAATAGAATCAATTACACAGCTCTTATGGTCTAAAATTATTTGTCTTCTCAAGTTTGCCTGATTATTGTCACACAGCAGGAGACTGGCCAAGACACAGCCATCTTTCTACTATTTGGCAACCAAGCACTTTGGAAGAAATGGTCACTGTTTTCACTTCATTCCTGTCATTCATTCACTCATTCATTAAATAAATATTAAGTGCCTACCATGTGCCTGAAATACGGAGGAAAAAAAAACAAAAACATGACCCCTGCCCTCATGGAAATTACCTTGTAAAGACAAAACAGACAATAAACATAAACACATAAATACATATATATAATATACAAAATTTGACAAGTGCAGAAATAGAAGAGAACAAGTGACTGGGAAAATAAACGGGGCAATGGTATAATTAAGGAGTGGACGCTGCCTTTCTCATGCAGTGTCAAGTCAGGTCAAGAAGGAACGAAAGGGAAGGTTCTGAGGCTAGCAAACTTTGAGTGTGGCCAAAAAAATAATGAAGGAGAAAGTGATGATGGAAAGACTAGGCTGAAGAGTTACGGCAGTAGTGCAGTGTCTTCTTGTAAGCCATGGTAAGGATTTTGAGTTGTAGTCTATGTACTGTTAGAAACCAATACTATTTTTGTAGTGTAAATTGAGCTTATTTTTCATAGATAGATTTCAAGATTCAAAGCATACAAGGACCAAAAATAATTATATGAAAACTCTCCCTCCCTCCGGTTTCCTAGTCACCCAGTTTCCCACTTCAGAGCTGCCAGTCTTTCCTACAGAAAGACTCTAGGCACAAACAAGCACATCTATCTGTTTATAATATAATGCATGCTCAGCAGTGAAACAAGCCCATCTGATTAAGACCACCTGAATGCTGAGTGGGCATGACTCTGCGTTAGAATGCTGCGCTACTACCCACGCGTCTCACAAAGTCTACTCCGCCGCGCGTTCTGTTTCAACACACCTCCGGGATTCAGGGCTTCCTAAGCTGCAATTCAGCAGGACTCCCTTGCTTGTTCTCACGCTATGCCCCTGGCAACAACCCCGCGCGCCTACACTCCAGTGCCGCCGCAGCTACTAGTCCGCAACTTCCAGCCCAAACACTGGAGCTCAGAACCCACCTCAGGTGCGCTCCTCTGTTTCCCAGGCAGACTGGGGCTGATTGCAGGCGCGCGGGGGCGGGAAGACGGCTTCTTGCTTCTGGCTGCAACGGAGGCGGATCTGGGCGGGGCCAAAACGGGGGCGGGGCCAAGTGTGTGGGCGTAGTCAAGCGTGGGGGCGGGGCCGGTGCCGCGGTCGGCTGCAGCGTTCTCTTAAGCTCTCGCGGCGGCGCTTCGGTCCCGGACCCGGGCCACCCACGGGGCAGTGGGTGCTCCTTGGCCCCGGACATTGCAAGTCCCAGAAGGTAAATTTGCCTGGGAGCCGCGCATCTGGAGCACGAGGGTACCCACGATGAGGGCGGGCGGCTGGATGGCGACAGAAGGGAGCGTCCCGCGGCGAGTTTCCCAAGAAAGCTGAACTCGTCCCAAGTTTCTTGTGCCTCGGCTTGCACTCAGTGAATTGGTGGCGGGCTCGTTTGGTGCGGGTGGTCTTTTGGCGTGGGAGGGACGCGGAGTTGATTGGATTAATCCATTTGGGCGGCACCCCAGATTTCTGCCTGGGACCGCGCACCGCAGTGGTGCAGTTTTTGCCCGAGAAAGGGCGGGTAAGTGCGGTGCAGTCGTGTCCTGCGCAGCAGCAGGGGGACCGCCGGACTCGGAGCACGCGAGTCGGCCAGGCGTCCCCGCCTATCCGCAGGCACAGTTTCCTAACTTCTTTCCTCTTTAGGCAAGACTGACCCGGTGTTGCTCCTACCGGGGCTGACTTCGAGGCCCGGCTATGGACGGCGAGAGCGAAGTGGATTTTTCTAGCAACAGCATAACCCCTTTGTGGCGGAGGCGGTCGATTCCTCAGCCCCAGCTGCTGGGCCGGAGCAAGCCGAGGCCCCAGTCCTACCAGAGCCCCAACGGGTTGCTAATTACAGATTTTCCGGTGGAGGACCGAGGGACGCTCCCTGCAGCGCAGACTGTCGCCCGGGTGCCCACCGACTCGGACAGCGGGACGGTACATAGGAGCCCCCTGCTTCTGGGAGCCCAGCGGAGAGCGGTGGCCAATGGTGGGACGGCATCCCCGGAGTACAGGGCTGCCTCTCCTCGACTTCGACGGCCCAAGTCACCCAAGCTCCCCAAAGCGGTGCCGGGAGGCTCCCCGAAATCCCCAGCAAATGGCCCGGTGACCTTGCCTGCGCCGCCGCCGCCGGTTCTGCGCTCTCCGCGGACTCCTAACGCGCCCGCCCCCTGCACCCCCGAAGAGGACCCGACTGGGTTGAATGCCAGCCCGGTGCCTTCGCCCACTGCAAATGGCCTTGCCGCTAATAACGATTCTCCTGGGTCGGGTTCACAGTCCGGCCAGAAGGCTAAGGAGCCCGAACGGGGGCTCTCTCCTGCGCCCCAGAAAAGTTCTTCAGAACAAAAACTTCCCCTCCAAAGGCTCCCCTCCCAGGAGAACGAGCTCCTCGAGAATCCTTCCGTGGTTTTGAGTACAAACAGCCCCGCCGCCCTCAAAGTGGGGAAGCAGCAGATCATTCCGAAGAGTCTGGCCTCGGAAATTAAAATAAGTAAATCCAACAATCAGAATGTGGAGCCCCACAAGAGACTCCTCAAGGTGCGCAGCATGGTGGAGGGCCTAGGAGGACCTCTGGGTCACGCAGGGGAGGAGAGTGAGTTCGATAACGACGTGGATAGCCCAGGGTCTCTGCGGAGAGGCTTGCGGTCCACGTCTTATCGCAGGGCAGTGGTCAGTGGCTTTGATTTTGACAGTCCTACCAGTTCGAAGAAGAAGAACAGAATGTCCCAGCCTGTTCTGAAAGCAGTGATGGAAGACAAGGAGAAGTTTTCCAGTCTGGGAAGGATAAAGGTAAAAGTGGGCAGGAGTGTGACACGCCATTCACTAAGCCAAAAGTAAATGTGTTGGGGGTGGGGAGGAGGAGCATAGAGAAAACCCGAAGAAGTCATTCCCTTTTAATTCTGTGTTTTGCTGTTGATTACTAGTGTACATCCAGCTCTTGGCCACTTTGATGCTGGCCGGCACAGCCGAGTTTAGTGCAGCTTTGTTGGAAGAAGTGAAATTCATCACCTTTAAATTTCTAAGCTCAGGCAGAATTGGGGGGACAAGAGTGAAATATGGCAGATTATTGGCCGAATGAGTCTTGACCACTTTTAAAAGAGATAGCTGAAAGGGGGAGGAGCATGCTCAGACCCGCACTCTGCAGTCAAGTTGTGTGGAGTTTGCTCAGAGGTTTCCGTCAATGGTAGCTGTTATTACAGCTGATTCAGAAAAATGCTGATTCCTGTTTGAGCCTGTTGATTATTTTTTTGCTTTTACTTACTGAATTGTTTTTTGAGTGGTTACTACACACTTGATGTCATTCAGGTAGAATGTGAATTTGAAAATCAACTGCCAGGATCACAAAAGACACAAATCTTTTGTCATCTTTTTTGTTGCTTGTTTTTGTCACCATGGCCTATGGTTGTGTTTTATTCCCGTTGTATGCCCATTCATCCTTGAGTGCATTTAACAAATTGGCAGCTGAAAACTTCAGGTTAGGGTGACACTGTTGTGGTATTGCTCCCCTGTATTGTCCCATTAGCTGCACTTATTAAAATATTGCCAAATATGACATAAAGAAACAGGGAAAACTGAAGAGGGATATTTTGGAGTGTATGCTGCCTTCCGCAGAAACAAGACAGATCTCAGCGATAGGGCAGAGATTCTTTTTGGCAGCCACATTTTTTCTTGGTTAATCAGAGCACTGGAACCAGTCTATATAAATGTCACATATGCAAAACACAAGCAAGCCTGTTTTATTTTAGAGCCCATGGTCTTAAAGAAATTACGTAACATTTTATGTGTTTTTTCCAACTCTGCAAGTATAGCAAAGTTCAATTTAACAGTGATGGTGAATCACGAGTAGTAAAATGAGCTGACCTGCTAGTTATTTGAGGATTCTCAGTCTGTTTTGACAGGGTATGGGAGATCTTGTACATTTTATTTCATTGTTTCAGTGAATTGTAGTTATCAAATGGGTGAACTCCTCCGGGGCTCAGCTTCTCTGTGCTCTTGGAAATCTAATTAATGTAATGACAAAAAAAAAAAAAAGTACTTAAAATAGCCATATTTTGTATTTGGCTCATTCATACATAGTTTGCTTCTCCTTTTTTTTTTTTGCTTTTTTTTTTTGTCTCTTAGAAAAAAATGCTGAAAGGACAAGGAACGTTTGATGGGGAAGGTAAGCATTTAATTTTCAAAACTTTTATTGCTGTTTCAATGTGGAATGCCAGTTATAAGTTGAAATCCAACTACATCTTTGAGAAATATGTTCAACTTCTTCCCAAATTATACAGTCCAAAGCTTCTCATTAAGCTAAATTTTTACCCAGTAATGCTAATGGTGAATATAGTTAATGGCATTTTTTATAGGCTGATAACTTTTTCAGTCAATGTCCTGGGATTTTTAATTCTTCTCTACCTTGGCTCCATCTCCATGTCCCTCAGGAAACAGAGAAAGAGTAAGACCAAGCTCTAGCTTTTTAGTTAAAAATTCTGATTTTGGCATTTAGATTTGAAGTCATATTTCTTTAGGTCACATTTCCTTTGACTTAGTATTCTGCCCATATTTCCACATTTTATTATCATTTCTGATTTCCTGTTTCCTTATTAAGTTTCAACTTTGGAGGAAATCTAACTCTCCTGACTGACAAAAACATACTCTCAAGACTTTGCAACCCATGTAGTATTTTTATTAAAGATCTCAAAAACAAAAGCAGCTTCAACCAGGTGTTCAAACCCTAATCAGATTAATGGACTTTCTGTAAATAGATGGCTCAAGTGTCAGCCAACTGGAAGAGCATGAAGGGAGCAGTCCCAGCTGTAGCACTTGTTGGGCTGGAGGGTCATGGTGGTAGTGAGGGTAGTTACTTTTTGTCATGTTTTGAAGTGTGAAGATTTTCCAACCTTCGAAGAATAATGAAGAAGGGGATGCCCCTCTATAAGTCAAGCAAATGTGCAACCACCCAGAATTATAAAATACGTAGCCTTAGGTGATTATCAAATAATTCCCTGTATAATTTTTATAAAGATGAGTTTCCCATTGGAACATTTAAAAATGACTCATCTATAAAAATTCATTCACCGCACCAATCTTAGGAAATCCCGATATAGTATTTAGCTGGTTGGAATAAGTTCATCTCCCTAATTTTATAATTGAAGAAACCAGAAGATCTGAGAGGTTTGGCACCTTGTCTACTGTCACACCTAGTGACACAGCCAATAGTAGGACACAGATCTAGTTCTTAGTCCCATTTGCTGCTTCTTATAGCACTCTATGAAGTGAACAGCATCTACCTAATATTTACCTAAGGAGATGCTTTACATTCCCTGGAATTTGGTATTTATTTTGTGACCTTTGCCTAAGAGAGTTTAAAATTTTAAGGTTTTTTTTGAAGTCAGAGACTAGACTTCATTGTAACTAGTTTTACGTTATTTCCTTTTATAAGAAGTTGTTTCTGTGTATCCTCTCATTTCTTCTCAAATATAATGACCTAGAAATTTTTTTCACACATATATATGTACACGAGGAATGCAGGATTCTTACAGTTAATGATTAACAAGAATGTAACTAGGGAAGCAGTGTGGCCAAATGGTGAGAATCTGTGATATTAGATAGAGCCAGGCAGACCTGCTCCTATTCATCAGTTGAGTGATACTGAGAAAAACCCTTTATATAACTGGGCCCTCACTGAGCCACCTCATGTGTGAAATGAGATTAATAATAATGTTGCCTATGTTGTCGTGAAAATGAGAAATCTATCAGCAATGTTATGCATATACTTTGTGCCAACTACTTAGTGCTTTAAAGACTAGGGGAGACTCAGTCTTTACCCTCGTAATCTACTTTACATAGCATGACAATCAGAGACCAGTAAAATCTTGCATAGTCATAGTGCATACGGAATAATCTATAGTTGATGAGAAAAGGGGCAGATGCTTGCTTGTTTTGGTAGATGGGAAAGGCAGTTCAAACTCAAAATGCCCCAGACCAAACTCATAATCTTCCCCACTAAACCTGAATCTCTTCTGGTGTTCCCATCTCCTACTTTCTGGTTGTGAGGCCTGCAGACCTAGGAAACATCCTTAACACCTCCTTCTCTCTGCCCCCATATCTAGTCTTTCACCAGTCTGTTCTATGTTATATAGCTCAAACCTCCATCCTCTTTCATTGACTACCCCAATAGCTTCTTAGTCTCCTAGGTAGTCAATGTTTTGTTCTCTACTCTAAGCAAGTCTTCCCTTTTCATGGAGTCCCATTGTGTTCAGGAAAGAGATGCTATCATGACAGTATGAAAGAAACTCAATCCTTTTGTACTCAGGGTAAAATCCAGTTTTAAGCATTGCCTACAAGTATTTTGTTGATTTGGACTGTCTGGCTTATTTCTCTAAACTCACCTTGTACAATGTGGCCACTAGACATACCCAAGCTTTAACCACATTGACTCTCCCTAGTTCTTTTAAGATATAGCGGTATATCACTTAATGATGAGGATACGTTCTGAGAAATACATCCTTGGGCAATTTTGTTGTTGTGCAGACATCACAGAGCGTACTTACACAAACCAGATGGTATAGCCTAGGACATATGGTACAGCCAAACCTGTACAGCATGTTACTGTACTGAATACTGTAGGTAGTTGTAACACAATGATATGTGTGTATCTAAACAGAAAAAGTACAGTAAAAATACGATGTAAAAAATTAAAAATGGTACTCTTCTATAGGACTCTTACCGTGAATGGAGCTAGCAGTACTGAAAGTGGCTCTGGGTGAGTCAGTGAATGAGTAGTGAGTGAATGGGAAGGCCTAGAACATTACCGTACACTATTGTAGACTTCATAAATAGTGTATACTTAAGCTACATCAAATTTATTAAAAAACTTTTTTCTTCAATAATAAATTAACTTTAGCTTACTGTAACTTATTTTGTAAAATTTAAAATTTTTTGAAACTTTTAAACTCTAGTTTTAACACAGCTTAAAACACAAACGCACTGTACAGCTGTACAGAGATATTTTTATTTCTTTACATACCTATTTTGTAAGCATTTTCTTATTGTAAAAAATTTTCATTTTTATTTTTGAAATTCTTTTGTTGAAACTAAACACATGGATTAGCGTAGGCCTGCAGAGGGTCAGAATCATCAATATCACTGACCTCCATCTCAATATTGTGTCCCACAAGAAGGTCTTCAGGGGCAATAACATGCATGGGGCTTTCATCTTCCATGATAACAATGTCTTCTTCTGGAATACCTCCTGAAGGACCTGCCTGACGCTGGTTCACAGTTAACTTTTTTTTTTTTTGGTAAGTAGGAGTACACTCTAAAATAATGATAAAAAGTATGGTATAGTAAATACATAAACCAGTAACATAGTTTATTATCATTATCAAGTATCATGAACTGTACATAATTGTATGTGCTGTACTTTTATATTTTTGGCAGTGCAGTCAGTTTGTTTACACCAGCATTACCATAGACGTGTGAGTAATGTGGTACACTACAACATTAAGATGACTAGGTGATAGGAATTTTTTAGCTCCTTTATAACATATGGGACCACCGTTGTAAATGTGGTTTGTCATTGATCAAAACAATGTTATGCAATGCATGACTGTATTATGTTTCCTCTTATGTTCCCATTATAGCTTTTGTGTGTGCTTTTCCTTTAGCTTTGTGGCTTCTCAGCTTTCAGACCTTAGACTTTCCTCATTGACCAAATACCTGACTGCCAGACTACATCACACCCTACTGACAGTCTGTTCGTACCTGTATATAAATCCTTCAGTTCGTAAGCATGTATTTGTGTAAGATCATTATGTCCTCAAACTTATAGTGACTTCCCATCACATTTTGAGTAAAAATCAAAGTCCTTTAATGGCTGAGGCAAGGCCCTACTTCATTATAACTAGTTTTATGTTATTTCCTTTTATAAGGAGCTGTTTCTGTGTATCCTCTCATTTCTTCTCAAATATAATGACCTAGAAATTTTTTAAAAAAAATTTCTAAAAGCCCTCTGGTCACCCTCCCCCATCTTCTTCTTCTTCTTTTTTTTTTTTTTTTTTTGAAATGGGGTCCAGTCTGGAGTGCAGTGGCATGATCTCGGTTCATTGCAACCTCTGCTTCCCAGGTTCAGGCTATTCTCCTGCCTCAACCTCCCGAGTACCTGGGACAACAGGGGCACACCACCATACTCAGCTAATTTGTTGTATTTTTGATAGAGGCAGGGTCTCTTTATGTTGCCCAGGCTGGTCTCGAACTCCTGACCTCAAGTGATCTGCCCACCTCAGCCTCCCAAAGTGCTGAGATTCCAGGTGTGAGCCACGATGCCCGGCTTCAACTCCCATCTTCTGTTCTTTCCGCCCATTTTCTTCGTACTCCAGCCACGCTGTCGTCCTTGCTGCTCTTGGTAAATACAGACATACCAAGTAGACTCATGCCCCAGGGCTTTATACTTGCTGTGCCCCAGTGAGATGCTGTTTGGTCACCAGTTCTTCATCAGAGTCAACATCAAGGGCCTTTTCGTTGTAGTTTTGATACAGGTGGCTCACTTTCTCACCTCTTCTATATCTCTACTTAATTGTCACCCCAGTGAGGCCTTCCTAAACTACCCTACTTAAAATCTACATGCCCTCCTCCCAGCACTTTCTACCCCCCTTCCCTGTTTCATGTTTCTTCATGACACTTATCAGCATCAAAATACTATCAAAGTTACTTGCTTATTTATTGCAGTTCTCTCATGCTTTAGTATCAGCTCCTGAAGATTGAGATTTTTATTTTGTTTCTATTACTGTAGAATAACAGGTGCTAAGCTGTTGCTTCTTGTGGGACAACCTACTAGGTTCTTAGTAGGTGTAGGTGTTTTCTAAGTAACAGTTGAATGGATAAATGCATGAGTGAATTTGACAGTTTTTCTTATTAAACTTATGAATAAACTTATTCATAAGGCATGAGGGGTGTCTTTCTTTTGTTTTCCATTTTACTTTCAGCCCTTGGCACATCATAGATATACAATAAGTGTTTATTAAATAGATAAATGAATGGTGACGGACCTGAAATAAAAGGTAGGATGTAATTTAACCTAAATTACAGTGATTTAATAGGCCTGACTGTCTTTCATGAGTAGTGGACAGAAACAAGGAAACTTTGCTTCCGTTGACATTCTCTATATGGACTCCTCCTCCTCCCCTGCACTTGAGTTTGAGATAGAGCTATGTGAATGAGAAAATCACTTTTCTGTAATTATTCTACAGGGACTAAATCTGTTTGTCTCTCTGTTGTTTATAAAATTGGAGGCCAAACATTGGGTACATACGATGTTTATTTAGAACAAGTAACATAATGATTGAGAACAATTAGTGACACATAGGCCTTGTTTTCTTGCAGAAAATGCTGTCCTGTATCAAAACTACAAGGAAAAGGCCCTTGACATTGATTCTGATGAAGAGTCGGAGCCCAAAGAACAGAAGTCAGATGAAAAAATTGTGATTCACCATAAGCCATTGAGATCCACATGGAGCCAGCTCTCTGCAGTGAGTGTTTACCTTCTTTTCTATCTGTGGTAGGAAAAAAACAAGTTGTGGAAATTATGTGTGGATTTGGCTTTTGTTCTTTTCTGCCAGTGATACTGTAACTCTAAAGAGAAAGACTCCTTTTAGATTGTGAAATGTTTCTCGGAACTCTGCCGGCACTAATGAGAACGTGAACTTTGACACTTCTGATCAGGAAAATTAGGTTTGATAAAATAAAGTGCTATGAGATTGATGTACTGTGAACTCTGGAAACTCTTTCTACGAGGTCTCTCTTTTTGTTAAATATAGTGTAGTGTAAGCATAGTACTAACATAACCTGCACTTTGTCATTATTATGGCTGTGTACATATATATGCGTGTGTGTTTATTTGTGTATGTATGCATTGATATGTACATGTATGTATGTACCTGTATATGTATCTCTGCACAATAGAGAGCTAGTTGCAGTTCTTCCTTGGAATTTTTTTTTTTTTTTTGAAACGGGATCTTGCTCTGTCGCCCAGAATAGAGTACAGTGGCACGATCTCGGCTCACTGCAGTCTCCTAGGTTCATGTGATTCTCCTGCCTCAGCCTCCTCCTGAGTAGCTGGGACTACAGGCGTGTTCCACCACACCCAGCTACTTTTTGTATTTTTAGTAGAGATGGGGTTTCACCGTGTTGGCCAGGCTGGTCTTGAACTCCTGCCCTCAAGTGATCCGCCAGCCTCAGCCTCCCAAAGTGCTGGGATTGCAGGCACGAGCCACTGCATCTAGCCCTTCCTTGGAAATTTAATTTGATATAGAAATATTTATATATTCTTAAAGCTGATTAATGAATGGTATTCTGTTCCATCTCCCTCTGTGCCTTTTTTGTGTGCTTGTCTCTGACACTTAATTTTGTGTTGCTGAGTAATTTCTCCTCTCTGCATCAGACACCTTTTGCTTTTTAAGTGTATATTTTTTTCTTCGTGGCTTACAAAATGTCACAGTTTGATGCTTAGTTTACTTGATAAGAGTTTGGGCACAGCATTTGTGAATATCTGGTGAATTAGCAAGTAGAAAGGAATTCCCGTGACTGGCTTGGTTCGGGGGAGCTTTGCATCAAAAACAAGCCAGTACACCTCCATGAGTCCTTAGGCAATATCAGAGCAGAGGTGACAGAAGTGTTCAGAATCAGGAATGTGCATTTAGGGAAAACACCAGTGTAAGAAAAGGAGTTGTTAATGTTGGTGCTGTATAGCCAGGGCCGTGGGAATGTGCATGGGTAAATGGTGGGAGACAACTTCTGCTTCAAGCTTTACCTTCCCTCTTCTCACCTGTATTGGAATTCAAAATTCAGTACACCAAGCGCTTTCTCCCTGTCTTGTTCCCACCTCCTGATTTTGTTCTCAGGAGAATCTGTTCATTTCCAGGGCCTCTGAGGTATAGCACCCTTATGATTATGCCCCAAATTAAAATACCCACAGTGGCAGGGCAAGTAGAATGAATACATGATGTTGGTTTATGTAGGTGATAGGGAGTGGTGGGAGCTGTGGTGAACAGGCCTCATATAAATTGAGCAGCTACTACTTAGCTCAAACCAGGTGAGTGCAGGGGCTCACTGTGACCAGATGTTCTGATAATTAGAAAAGAGAATATACAAATCCAGACTTTTATGAGTATTTTCCCAACTCAAATTTTAAAGAAATGTTGTGTGTCCAATAAAGTATTCAGATTTGACGTCTATGCTAACAGTTTGTAAATTCTGTGATATTTTTTAAAATTTTGCATGTGGTTAGGTGGTCAAAGCGAACCACAGAATTGGTGTATTAATTAGCAGCCTTATACCCTAATCTAATGATCTCATGATATGTGTATCCCAAAACAGATATGTGGAAAAACTGGTGACAAGGTCCATTGAGGCCTTGTCGGCTCTAAATGGCTGTCATTCAGTTCATTCAGTTGTTGGTATGGACCATTTGGTAGAGGATTCAGGAGAAGAAAGAAGGCTGTGGATTTTTTGTTTCCTCTTTGTGGCAGCAGCTGTGTTTGTTAGCATAGGCCTAAATCCTGCTGTTGGTCTCCGAAAGAATGCTAAAAAGAAATGTGGATTTTTATGTCAGTTACACCCTGATCCCACTTAGCTTTAGCCCAAGAAACAGGCTGCCATATTTGTGCCTCCTGGAGTTTGGCTTTCATATAGATGAGCACATGTACATACAATTAAATAATAGTGCATATCCTTCAGTTCAACTTTGTTTATGGACTTGCATTTTGTTTGGCAAAAAAATGAATGTTGTGTCTTTTGTAAATGATATGTAAACGATACGGATATCATAGAACTATCTTGTAATAAAATGTAAAACTATAAAGTGAGTTCTGACTTTAGTGTATGTTATCTTGGAGTTTAGTGTTCCTGGGAGGCTTGTGTGTATTTATTGTGTTGCTTGGCAATTACATTTAATGAAAGCAGCATGATTGAACTTTGCCACTAAGCATTTCTTAGGCACCAGTCTGCATTTCTTTGTGCCTTTTGTGTCTTCTTTTCACTTAAATTTTACTTTAATTTTTTTTTGTTATAAAGTGCTTTAAACCTGTAGAGAAATTAAAAGATAAATAAAGGTAATCAATTTCTGTGTACCTATCACTCAGATTGAATAAATGTTAATATTTTAACATATTTGCTTCATTTTCTATTTTTTTAGACTATTACAGCGAAACCCTCCTTCCTTTCCAGTTCTTTTCTCCTTCCTACCTCCCCAGAGATAACTTTATCACTATCCCTGACGTTCTCTTTTGCCCTTCTCATGAGGGTTTTCTGTCCACCAAAAGGATATAACCAGTTCTGGCTTTTAGGAAGGTAGATATTTTAACACCAGAAAGCAGTCATTACCTTTTTAGAAGCTCATCCACTACTAAATTTTCAAGTGGTATTTAGGACCCTAAAGAGAGGAGGCTTCGTGAATCATTAACAATGTCAGAATGTTTCTCATAAGTGATCGGCACCTCCATTTCTCTATCTGACCCTTCCTGATAGTGAAGCTGCAGTGTTTAGGGCAGGTCTCAGAAGACTTTCAACTTTAATATATATATTCAGCTTTGATATATAAATATATATGTGGGTGTATATATATAAAGTTGGAGGTCTATATAAATACCTAGTATAATATATGTATTAAACCTAGTATTATCTGTATATTAAATACTAGGTTTTATATATACATATGTATAAAGTACTAGGTTTAAACCTAGTGTGTTTATGTATACACCTAGTGTTTTATATGTATATACCTAGCATTTATATATATATAGTGTTTTATATGTATATAAAATACTAGGTTTAATACTTAGTATTAATACTTAGTACTTAATACTAAGTATTAGTATTAGTAATATTACTATAGGTTTAATACTTAGTATATAAAATATAAAATATATTTATATATATAAAATTTATATATAAATATATAAAATAAAATATAAAATATATAAAATAAAATAAAAATATTTATAAAAAATATAAAATATATATAAAATATATAAAATACTAGTAGTATTAAATACATAATACTTAGTATTAAACCTAGTATTTTATATACATATTAAACCTAGCATCATTCATACATATATATATATATAAAATTATTCTTCCATCCTTAACTTTTAATAATCAAAATCATAAGGTAGCCCTGGTCTAATTTTGCGTGTAACATTTTAACGCAAAACACTTCTTAAAGTCAAGTCTTAATCCTAGAAAGAATAGGACAAGGGGTTTTCTGGCAGTGGGTTAGGTCTCAGTTTGGCATATACCTTCACTTCCTGCTAAGGAGGGTAGGGAGTAAGTGCACATGTGCAGTAGCTAGTGTTGATTGTTTTATTTTCTAAAAAATCTCTTTATTGCAAACACCTGCCTGCCTCCTGGGATGGTAAAACTGTCCTTATCAGTTGACTGTAAGAAGCATCCATGATGCCAAATACTTTAGAAGTGCAGCAATTTGCAGTAATTTATGGTTGTTACATAAGATCTTTAAGCCTTCAGTCTGTGGTGTAATTTGTCTGAGCGTGTTTGTTTATGTTTCCTTTGGTTTCATTGGACCATGCCGGGTAAGACAGTGTTCAGCTCTACAGGTGATGGGCGGTTCCCCATTTATGGTGTTGGGAGAGGTTTAACTGTAGTGTTGTCATTTAGGAATAAAGGAGAATTATAACTGTAAGAGGCATTTATTTAGTTGGGCCTCAGTAGAATAATAAATGATAGTCATTTGTTTAACTGAGCCTCAATGGAATAATGAGCCACAGACTCATCAGAGTATTAGGACTAAAGAAATAAGGCTGCACACCTACAACTATGATCTGTCAGGTTTGTAGAAGATCAGATAGTTTTAGGTGTGCAGCCTTATTTCTGGGCCCTTTTTTCTGTTCCATTGGTCTGTCTGTTTTTGTACCAGTATCATGCTGTTTGGTTACTGTAGCCCTGCAGTACAGTTTGAAGTTGGGTAGTGTGATGCCTCCGGCTTTATTCTTTCGCTTAGGATTGTTTTGGTTATTTGGGCTCTTTTTTGGTTCCATATGGATTTTAGAATGGGATTTTTCCAGTTTGTGAAGAATCTCAGTGGTAGTTTAGAATAGCATTGAATCTGTAAATTGCTTTGGGCAGTATGGCCATTTTAATGATATTAATTCTTCCTATCCATGAACATGTAATATTTGTGTATTTGTTTATGTCATCTCTGATTTCTTTGAGCAGTATTTTGTACTTCTTCTTGTAGAAATCTTTCACCTCCCTAATTAGCTGTATTCCTAGGTATCTTATTTTTTTGTGGCAATTGTGAATGGCAGTTTGTTCCTGATTTGGCTCTTGGCTTGACTGTTGTTGGTGTGTAGGAATGCTAGTGATATTTGCACATCAATTTTGTATCCTGAGATTTTGCTAAAGTTTTTTTTATCAGCTTAAGAAGTTTTTGGGCTGAGACTATGGGGTTTTCCATATATAGGATCATGTCATCTGCAGACAGGGATAGTTTGACTTTCTCTCTTACTAT